TCTAAAAATCTTTTATAAAAGAGGGGGGAAATTAGGCCAGGCCGGCCTGGTGAAATAGTAAGGTCTTTAAGGTGCGGCGGAAGGTGCGCAGATCCGGGATCCTCCATATCTCTGGGGGGAGCTCGTTCCAGATAGTAGGTGCCCCCACAGAGAAGGCTCTCCCCCTGGGGGCCGCCAGTTGGCATTGTTTGGCTGACGGCACCTGGAGGAGCCCCTCTCTATGGGAGCGTACCGGCCGGTGGGAGGCTATTGGTGGTAGTAGGCGGTCCTGCAAGTAAGCCATGGAGCGCTTTAAAGGTGGTAACCAAAACCTTGAAGCGCACCCGGAAGACCACCGGGAGCCAGTGCAGCTCGCGCAGGAGAGGTGTTACATGGAACGCCATGTCGCTCCCATTACCACCCGCGTGGCCGCACTCTGCGCCAGTTGGAGCCTCCGGGTGCTCCTCAAGGGGAGCCCCATGTAGAGAGCATTGCAATAGTCCAGGCAGGACTATTTTTTACATTTTACAATGTAAAAAATTAGGGAAAATATTTGTTTCGTTAGCAGAGGAAAAAAAAGGGGGAATAGTAGTATATATTAAGGAAGAGATAGAAAGTAATTTGAAATAAAGAGACCAGATAGGAAGAATTTTGATGATTGAAGTAAAAGTTAAATATAAAAATGTATTATTAGTGGTTATTTATGCACCAAATAGCGGACAAAAAGAATTTTATCAAAAAGTGCATGAAAAAATATTAGAGTAAAATATGGAGAATGTATGTTTGATTGGCAATTTTAACGCAATTGTGGATATAAAAAAAGACTATAGGAGCAACCAGAATAATAAAAAGAAGAAAAATTTACTACCTAAAACATTTACAAATTTAACAGAAGAATTGAATTTGGTAGACATTTGGAGATATCATAACCCAGAGGAGAAAAAATACACATACTATTCTAATCCCCATAAATCTTGGTCCCGAATAGACATGACATGGATCACTAAAACATTGATACAGGAAATAGAAGCAGTAGAAATAGTTTTAAATGATTGGGCAGACCATAACCCAGTAGTATTGGAATGGAAAGGGCAACGAAGGAATAGAAGTTGGTGGATGATGAACATACAGATATTGAAAGAAAAGGATTATATTGAAAAAAATGGAAAAAGAACCAAAGTGATTTTTTAAGGATAATAATAAATCTCAGACATCCCTCCAGAATCTATGGGATACCACAAAAGCCTTTATTAGAGGATTGACAATAGCATATAATGCCAAAAGAAAAAAGGAGAAGGAAAAAAAAATAGTAAAATACAAGATGAGATTAAAAAATGGGAGAAGAAATTACAAGACAAACCGGGAGATGAGCAAATAAGAGGTAATTGGATGTCAGCTAAATATAAATTGAATTTATTAGACCAAGAAAAATATGTCAATACATTGAAATTTATAAAGCAAAACCACTTTGAGCATGTGAATAAACCTGGGAGATGGTTGGCATATAGATTAAGGAAAGAGAGAGAGAGAGAAAAGAATAATCCATCAACTACAAGATAAGGAAGGTAAATTACAACAGGGATTAGACAAGAAAAAAGAAACAGCAACCCAATTTTTTCAAGAATTGTATAAGCAGGATGAGGTAGCAATAGAAGATATAATTCAATACTTAAATGGGGAGGGTATGCCGACAATAACAGAAGAAGAACAAGAGATATTAAATAGAGACATTACAATAGAAGAATTAAATGAAACAATCAAGAAACAGAAAAACAACAAAACACCGGGGACAGACGGATTACCAATAGAACTTTACAAAGGATTGGGTGTATCATTAAATTGGATTCTGTTGGAAATTTATAATGAGGCATTAAAAGAGGCAAGGCTACCAGACTTGTGGAGGGAAGCATATATCACCCTAATCCCAAAAGAAGGAGCAGATGCAACACAGATAAAAAATTACAGACCGATTTCCCTACTAAATTCTGATTATAAAATTTTTATGAACATTATGGCAAATAGAGTAAAAAAAATATTGAACTGCAGAATACATTCAGATCAGAACGGATTCCTACCAACAAGACAAATAAAAAATAACCTAAGAACTGTAATTAACGTAATTGAATATTATGAGGTGCATCCAGAGAAACAGGTAGCACTGACATTCCTGGATGCACAAAAAGCTTTTGATCGGGTCAATTGGCAATTTATGATACAACAAATAAAAAATATGAAATTCAGGGAGAAATTTGAGAAAATGATAGCTTCAATATACACAAAACAAAGAGCGAGTATATTAGTTAACGGGGACCTTACAAATTCTTTTGAAATAAATAGGGGAGTACGGCAAGGATGTCTGCTTTCACTGCTACTTTTTATTTTAACTCTGGAAAATTTACTCATAAGAATTAGATCAAATAAACATATAAAAGGATTAAAAGTAAAAGGAGAAGAATACACGGTCCAAGCATTTGCCGATGACCTTGTATTCTTCGCAGAAGATCCACTAGAAACAGAATTAGTACTAATAAAGGAGATAGAGAAAGTCGGTAAAGTAGCAGGTTTAAAAATTAACAAAGATAAGACTAAAATGTTAACCAAAAATTTAACAGATAAACAAATAGGAGAATTAGAAAATCAATCAGGACTACAGACAGTTAAAAAGGTGAAATATTTAGGCATCAACTTGACAGTTAGAAATGTGGCAATAAGGGACAACAACTATGGAGTGTTAGTACAACAAGTTAAAAATGATTTAGAAAAATGGGGGAAATTAAAATTATCATTGTTGGAAAGAATTGTGGCGATAAAGATGAACATACTGCCAAGACTCCTCTATTTATTTCAAACCATTCCAGTAAAATTAGAGAAGGTTTTTTTTACAAACCTGAATAAAATAACCTCAAAATTTGTATGGGAGGGGAAAAAGCCAAGGATAAAATTAAATATCCTACAGGACGATAAAACCAGAGGAGGATTCGGATTACCGGCATGGGAAAAATATTACAAAGTGGCAAGCTTACCATGGTTCAGAGAATGGGTTAGGTTGGAAAACCAAAGAATTTTAAAATTAGAAGGACATGATCTATGGAAGGGGTGGCACGCCTTCATATGGAAAGCAGGAAACATAACATATAAACATTTTAAAAATCACATAATAAGAGACTTACTAATTGGCACTTGCCAAGAAATTAAAAATAAACATTATATGAAAATTCCCAGTTGGATATCTATATTGGAGGTGACAATACACCCCAACAAATTGACAGTACAGAAAATAATAAGATATAAAGAACTATTAGACCCCCGGGGATTATTAAAAACCCGACAAGAGCTTAGAGACCAAGGTATTGAAATGGACTGGTGGCCCTACTTGTAAATACAAACAAGATATAAAAAAGATCAAGAAGAAGGAGGAATAGAGTTAAACCCCAACTGATTAGATAAACTATTTGAATCCAAAGAAGAAAAATTAATTTCAAAAATTTATAAATATCTATTAGAATTCGATTTGGCAGAAGATATAGTAAAAGGGCAAATGATAGCCTGGGCGAGAAATATTGGAAATAATATACAGTTAGAAGATTGGGAAAGGGTGTGGGAAATCAACCAGAGCATGACAAAGTCTGTAGTATATAAGGAAAACCAATACAAAATGTGGTTCAGGTAGTATCTGGCCCCGTCGACATTGGTGAAAATGTACCCCAACCTTAGTCCAATCTGCTGGAAATGTAAACAGGTACATGGGACTTTCTTCCACGTCTGGTGGCTTTGCCCCCCCCAAAAAAATACTGGGAAAAAATTAAAACTTGGTTAAAGTAAATAACGGCAGAAGAAATAGAACTTAAGCCAGAAATCTTTTTATTGGGTATGATTAGAGAAAATATTAAGAAAGAATTGAAATATTTAATATTGCATGTAATCATGGCAGCCAGGCTGGCATTCACTCAGCTTTGGAAAACGGACCAAATTCCAACAGAACAATTAGTAATTCAAAAAATTTACAATTGCGTTGAAATGGACAGGCTAACACTGGAATTAAAGGATAAGGTAGACTCGAAATATTATATGGTATGGAACAAATGGCATGAATGGATAAATCAAAAACAAAGTTCCTAAGATAACAAAATTAACAACTAGACACCATCAATAACGTATAGAGATATATTTATATTGTAATTTGTATTATTATATTGTGTGTATTTTCTATTTTTCTTTTTTTCCTTTCCTTTTCTTCTTTTCCTTTTTTCTTTCTTTTGTGTGTCTTTCTCTTTTTTATGTCTTTCTCTTTCTCTTCAGTTCTTAATGTTCTTTTATCTCTCTTTATTTCATATTTTATATTGTATGTAGTGAATGTGACATTTTATATTTTTATACCTAATAAAGATCATTAAAAAAAAAAAAAGATGAAGTGTTTTCAGAAAGCCGAAATGTCCCGCCGGCCTGGAATTGTGACAACGCCAGAGGACGGACGTTCGAAGGCTCACTGGAATATACAGTCTATCTCCTTTCCAAGCTAACCCATTATGAATGGTCACTAAGATCTGATTCTGTGTCACCCATTGATCTTGTTGTATCGCTGTCTGTAATTCGGTCATGAAGGAGGCATCCGACCAGATTATTGCTGATACGTCATGTGACACCTGACTGGGTGGTATGAGGGCTTCCACTATCTCCTCCCATTTGCTATTATACTGCGGCATATGCGATAAGGCGTCAGCGAGGAAATTTTTCCCAGCTGGGACATATTTTAGACGGAATGAGAACCTGTGGAAATATTGTGCCCATTGCACTTGCTTGGAGGACAATCATCGTGGTGTTTGCAGTGCTTCCAGGTTCTTATGATCCATCCACACCTCAAAGGGGTGTGATGCCCCCTTGAGGAGGTGACACCACGTCATCAATGCCCATCACACAGCAAACGCCTCTTTCTCCCAAATTGCCCAACCCTGTTCTGTGGGGCTCAATTTGTGGGAGGTATAGGCACCTGGTTGTAAGTAACCTTGTTCATCTTTCTGCAGAAGGACCGCCCCCACAGCCATTTCACTAGCATCTGCCTGAAAGATGACTGCTTTTGTGGGATCGGAATGCGTGAGAACTGGTTCTCTGGTAAACAGGTATTTCAACTGCTCAACTGCCTTTTGACATGTTGTTGTCCAACTCAATAACTGACCAGGCCTTGGTCTCGATGTGGATGGCTTAGTACTTAAAAGGTCTGTTAAAGGCAGGCTTATCCTGGCAAATGCAGGGATAAATTGTCGGTAGAAATTAGAAAATCCCAGGAAGCTTTGGAGTTGTTTTCTTGTCTTCGGGGCTTGCTAATCCACAATCGCCTGGATTTTGCATGGATCCATCTCCATGCCATCTCCTGATATCCTATAACCCAGATAATCTATCTTTGATTTGTGAAACTCGCACTTCGAGAGTTTCACAAAGAGTTTGGCCGCTAACAGCTTCTTCAATGCTTGACTTACCAAATTGACATGTTCCTCCATATCCCGGGTATATATTAAGATATTGTCCAGGTAAACAAGGACCCCCCGGTACAGATGTTCATGCAGGACTTCATTAATCAGCTGCATGAACACTGCAGGGGCGCCCTGGAGACCGAAAGGCATAACCTGAAACTGAAAGCTGCCAAGGGGACAGTGAAATGTGGTCTTCCACTCGTCCCCCAGTTTGATACGAACCCGATAGAATGCCTCACATAAATCAAGTTTCGTAAAGACTCGATCAGTTGACAATGTGGCCAAAAGATCTTTCATTAAAGGGAGGGGGTACAAGTGTTCCACACAGACTTCGTTAAGATCCCGGAAGTCAACGCACAAGCGTAACCCCCCCATCCTTCTTTTCTCAGAACAGTACAGGGGCTGCCAAGCGGGACCTACTAGGCTTGATGACCCCCTCGCTAAATTCTTATCGATATACCATCTCAATTCATCTAGTCCTGTTTGCGTCATTGAGTACATTCATGGCTTCGGCAATTTAACCCCAGGCACTAATTCAATGGCACAGTCCGTTGAACCTCACATTCCTCCTCACTGAAAACAGCTGCGAGGTCTTCATAAATGCTAGGGAAGCCCTGCATTGGATGAGGAACCACCAAGGCACAACCACTTTCCCTACCCCTGTTGTTGTCCCTTGTAGGTGGAGTATTCTCCGAAGCGGGTAGATCTGGACCAAGTGTTAATCTTAGTTTCCGGTATCCCTTCCCACCAGATGTTAGGCTGCCATTTATCAAGCCACGCTAGCCCCAATATTATCGGTTCAATCATCTGCTTGATCACAATAAAACAGATAGCCTCTCGGTGATCTCCTATCTCCAGGTATAGCCTCTCCATCACATGGGTGGCTGGCACTCGCCCCAATAATGATCAATCCATCTGCTTGAACGTAACCGGGTTCTTTAGCCACCTCACCCGCAGTCCTAGAGCATCTACCACAGCCTGACAGACAAGACACCAGGTACACCCGGAATCTACCAAAGCCCCATACTGGTAGAGCAAGGGTTTCTCAATACCACTGGTATCATGAAAGGACAAATGGGGTCGCTCACCATTGGGTCTTCCGGGTCCTCATCATCACTGTCTCCAGACACCACCAGAAACTTCCCCCCAGACAGAGTCAACACAGCTTCTCTGGCCTGGGTATCCATAGCCACCTTGGAGCCCTGGGCCACCTGTGGCCGCTCTGGTGGTTGCCTTGGCTGTCTTCTCATTGTAATTCCAGAGGGAGGTTTTTGGGGCTGTGTTCGTGGTGATGGCATGGGGCATTCAGCCGCCCTGTGGCCGACCTGACTACATCTATAGCAGCGAAACACTGGCCTCCTAGGACCATTTATTGGCTCCAAACCATGCCTGGTCTGGAGTCTCTGATGGGTTGAGGTTTCTCTGGAGGTTTTTCCGTCACGGGTTTCCTCTGTCCAGGAGTTCCTTCCATTCGGGGCCGGAATTCTCGGAGGCCTATATTCAGCTCTATTGCTGCCCGGAACCAAACAGCTAATCGCGGAGCTAAGTCCCTGTATATACAAGCCTGCCACAGCTCCCGGTCCAATCCCATGCGAAACTGTTGGATTAGTATTCGTTCTGGCCAATCCACCAAATGACTCGCAATGTTAATGTTAATGTTAATTTTATTTATATACCACCCTTCTCCCGAAGGACTCGGGGCAGTGTACAGCCAATTTAAAAACATAAATATACAGACATTATCATTAAAAGTAATTAAAATCAATTAAACAGTTTTGGCCAAAATTTTAAACCCCAAGTTAAAACTCCAATTTAAAAACCACTTAAATAGACAGCCCCACCTGTCAGAACAGTAGGGTCTTGAGGGCACAGCGAAATCTTTCAAAAAGTTTGTACATAGTCCTTAGCGGGAGCACCTCTTTGTTTGAGTGCAACCAGGTCACCCTCTGCCACTTGCACACTAAACTCATCCTCAAAAGTGGATCTAAGGGCCTCCAAAAACTTCCCTATGTCTATCAGTTCCCTAGCATGGTTGCTATGCAGGCTGGCCACCCAATCGGAAGCATCTCCGGTTAGCACTGCCATGATGACACAACCATGGCCCACTGGGAGGTGTCAGCGTTCCAAATTATGATCTCTTTCAGCGCTGACATGAAATCACAGAAAGACTTGCTTTAATGCTGAGATGAACTTTCACCTAGTTCCTGGCTCTTCAGCAGATAGCGTTACTTGGGCAACAGAGGGAGGGGGGAAATTCCTGTGAAAAGAAAGTGCATGGGATGAAGAGATGGATCTGGATGGTGGCCAATGAGACATTGGGGTTGAAGAACGGAAAGGGAGGGGTTTGGAAGGAGGTGCCAATCTTGGCTGCAACAGAGTTCAGGCATGTCGTTTTTTCTATTCTTAAATAAAAGAGATTCATTAGAGACTTTGCATTTGAGAATGAAGTTTATTTAAGATAGCAACGAAACCTGACAGACAGCCAAGATTCCTCCAAAGCCAGGCTGGCTGACTCTAAATCACCCCGTTCCCTCCCAGACGTGTGGTCGGACTGGAGATTGTCCCCTGACATTATGGCTGAAGCCAAGCTCTCGGAGGAAAGCCTTCAAGCAACGAGTGGAGGAGAAGTGGTCGTGATCCCAGCCAGTTTGGAAAGTACGAAGGCTCAACTCTCCCTGCCTTCCCCCTCAGCAAAACTTCAAACAAACAAGCGTGAGCCAGATAAGTACCCGGGGACTGTGCCAGAAGCCTCCGAGGCTGAATTTCCCTTTCCAAACACGAAAGACAAAGGGAAACCCCTAAGTGAATTGGGCAGGGCATCCTGGCTATGGGAATGGGAACAAACCAGAAAACAAACTAAGCGCCAAGAAATTCTAAAGAAGCCACTTGAAAGCCCCATAGATGAGTTGAAAGAGAAATTTGACCATGCCACCCTTCAGGGGGAGGGGCCATCCTGCAGACCCAAAGAAAAGAGAGAACCAGTCTGGGCTGTTGATTCAAGAGGCCGTAGGCTAAGGCGCAGCCCTTCCCCCCTCCACAGCAGGAGGAGGAGGAGCCCAACGATGCATCCATGGGTCCCCCCCTCCCAGCAAGCAGCGAAGCCTAGATGATGCAGCACCTCCCTACCCCAGGATGAGAGACGAGGCAGAGGACTATCAACACCAAGGCCGGCCCTACAGAGCTCAGCACAGAGAGGAGAGGGTAGAGAGAGACAAACCACCCCAGTTCAGAGGGAAGTTCGATGGTGACCCAGACAACCTCGCCCAATTCCTCGATTCAGCTGAGATATACATAGAGCATTTTGGACACCTCTATCCTTTCCCCAGAGCCCTAGTGAATGCTATCTCGGAAGGGCTGGAGGGAGAAGCAAAGAGGTGGTCAGCATCCCTCTACAAAAACAGGGCCCCCCAGCTGCAAGATGCGGATGGGTTCTTGCAACTATTGAGAGCCCGTTATGAGGAGGAAGAGGAGGACCCCTATGTGGAAGACGAGCTAAGAAACCTAATGCAGAAGGGGAAGCCTATCAGAGAGCATATCCATGAATTCAGGAGAGTTATTGGGACACTGCCTCCCCTACCAGAGCGATTGCTGGTGTACTTTTTTAGAACAAGCCTAGATAAGAGAATTTCCCAAGTGACTGCTTATCGGGACATCCCAAACCAACTCTCTGAATGGTTCCGGGTAGCGATAAAAGTCGACAGGGGGCTGCGGGCAAACAACACGTCGAACCCACCAGATGGAAAGGAGAGGGGCCGGCCAGGCCAGGGGCCATTCAACAGACGAGAAACCCCAACATCACAGCCCACCCAGAGGCCATCTGCCCAACGGAGCCCACTGAAATGCTACAGATGTGGGGGAAGCGGCCACATAGCAGCAAGATATGGAACCCCTAGGCTGGGACCAGCTCCACTGCCCAAAGCACTACCGGAACGAGGGCTCAAGCACGCCACCCACGTACCACGGGAAGCTCCCCAAATCCCGGAGTTTTTCGCTCACCTGACCGAAACCAGAGGAATCCCAGAAGAGGGAGATCAGTCCCCCGAACCCTATGACACGGAGGACGAAGGCGAGGACGACCCGATGGTGAGTGGACCCGTCCATCCTTTTCTTTTCCCCATACGCCTAACAGCCCCCAAAACAGGGGCCCAAGAGACTTTCCAAGCCCTAATAGACTCTGGTAGCACACGGTGCCTAATCAACTTACCCACAGTTCTAAAATTGGGAATCCGAGCTAAAAAGCTCAAACAACCAATTCGCTTTGAGCAAGTTGATGGGTCCCTAGCGGGGGGGGGCGTACGCCACACACTTGACTGAACCCGTGAGACTAGAACTAGCAGATCACTGGGAGACGATCCGCTTCATAATAGCCCCCAAGATGACAGAACCAGTCATATTGGGACTCTCGTGGCCGGACAAATGGGGCCCAATCATTTGGTGGCAAGAGGGGACCCACAGGCTGAGAATAGCAAAGGGCCCCCAACCCCTGCCGCCCCGACCAGAAGAATTCCCTCCCATGCTGAGACCCCAAAGCAGCCCGCCACTGCAGAAGAAAACACCACCAACACAAGGGTCCTTCCCAGAAGGTACAGCAAAGCAATTTGCAGCCTCACCCACCACCGCTTGTAATGCAGATCAGATCCCAGGGGAGT